CTCCAACTCCAGGGTCCGCAGCACCAGCAGCAGCTCCAACGCCCGGGTCCTCAGCACCAGCAGCAGCTCCAACTCCAGGGTCCGCAGTACCAGCAGCACCACCAGCACCAGCAGCACCTCCAGCAGCGTCAGCAGCACTAGTGCCAGCAGCACCTCCAGTAGCACCAGCAGCACCGCCAGCAGCAGCAGCACCTCCAGCACCAGGGTCCGCGACACCGGGAGCGCCACTCCGGAGACTGCAGCACCGCGCGTACCACTCTCGGAGCCGCTGGGGAGAGGGGAGCTCCCGCCTAGGAGGGGAAGCACTAGCACCAGCTCCAGCAGCACTCCTAGCTCCAGAAGCACCTCTCCTGAGGCTGCAGTACTATAAGTACCACTCACGCAGCTGCTGTGAGGAGAGAGCTCCTCCAGGTGTAGCACTCCCAGGCTCAGCACCGCCAGACTCAGCACCCGCAGGCTCCGCACCCCCAGGCTCAGCACTCCCAGACTCAGCACCCGCAGGCTCCGCACCCCCAGGCTCAGCACCCCCTGACTCCGCAACCCCAGGCTCCGCACCCCCAGGCTCCGCACCCCCAGGCTCCGCACGCTCAGGCTCAGCACCCCAAGCAGGACGAGAGTCGACAGCTACCTCGACAGGCTCAACCGGGTCTACCTGGGACACACCTGAGGGAGCGGCACCCTGAGGGGGAAGGGGGTCTACCACAGCAGCACCTGGCGCGAGGAAGAGAGGCGGGGGGGGGAGCGGGGCAGTGCGGTAGGGGAAGAGGCGGTAGTAGGGCACGGACTCGTCAAAAGTGACGTCCTGAGAGGGTAGGACACGGCGCGAGGTGGCGTGGTAAAACTGCCAACCAGACGCGTCCGGGACAAAGCCAAGGAAGACACAAGGAACAGCGCGGGAGGAGAGCTTGTCCGCGGACGTATCGCGAACAAAAGCTCGAGATCCCCAGACCCGAAAACGCGACGCGTCGCCAACCTCTCCATTCCAACGCAGTGTCGGGGAAGTCTCCGGCAAGGAGACACGCGGCCAGAGGTTGAGCTGATGCGCAGCGTATCGGACCGCAAACGGCCACAGAAAGTGGGGGGCAGCCGCATGGATCAAGGAGGTACGAGCGACCTCCATGACCAAGCCAATGCGGCGCTCAGCAACCCCATTCTGCTGTGGAGAGGCCGGAAGCGTGAACGACTGGCGGATGCCGTGCTCCGCACAATAGGCTGCCAAGAGGTCGGAGGAGAACTCACCACCTCTGTTAGAGTGCAAGCGCAGGACAGGAAAGTCCGAGTGGAAACGCTCGCTGAGCTGGAGACGAGAAGCGCGGATCCAAGGGATCAAAACATCAGGGACTTCACCCTTGGTGCGCAAGGGGAAGACCGTGGTGTAGCGCGAGTAGTCGTCAACAAATATCAGGAAGTACCTCTCCTGACCCTGACCCCGGACGCGGGCTGGGCCCCACACGTCCAAGTGGAGCGTCTGCAAGGGAGCAGTCGTCGGGGGAAACGAGGAGGAGTGAGGAGCGGCGCGCTGCCGCCCCTCGACACAGGGAAGACAGGGAGGAGCAGGCGAGGGTGGGAGGGGAGGGAGAACCCTGGGAAGACCAGAGACAAGGTACCGTTTGTGCATGGCACGAAGGCGCTGCACGGACGGGTGACCAAGTCGGTGGTGCCAGAGGACGGTCTCGTGCGCCAGAGAGCGACACGAGCAGGGGGCCGACAGCTGACCTGACGCAGATGCAGCCGCAGCTACCTGAGGGGACTCAGTGGTCAGTGTGTACAGGTCCGACCCCGGCTGCCGAGTGAAGGTAGCCAGGTGACGGCCCGTCCGAGCACACGTGCAGTGTGTCACGCGCTCGTAGGCAGGGGTGAACTGGTGAACACCCCCGTCCTGGAGCGCACAAGCCGCCACCAAGTTCGTAGAGAACGAGGGGAGGTGGAGACCTGACAGTGTGCCCGACGGGACCGCAGGACAAGGAAGGACAGTGGAGGAGGTCGCAATGACCGGACCCCCAGAGGGGTCAGCGAGGGAGACAGCAACTGGCCGAGCAAGCTGTTCAAGGGCAGTGCGGTCACGAAAGAAACAGCGAGAAGCACCTGAGTCCAGTGTGAAGGTGTGCAGTGCCTCAGTCGACTCAGTACCAGGGGGCGCAGACTCACTAGCACCTAGAGCAGCAGTCTCACCAGCACCTGGGGTAGCAGACACGCGAGTACCTGGAGTGGCAGTCTCACCAGCACCTAGGGCAACCGACGCACTAGCACCTAGAGCGGCTGCCTCACTGGTCCGAATGCCCGGGTCGGGCGGAACACGCAGGTACTGAGCACCCTCTCCACTAGTAGACATCACATACATGGCAGTGAGAATAGCATCAAAATCTAGAGCATAGATATCAATGTTTTTCTTCATCAGATCAGCCCAGCGGGGCAGCTCAGTGGCATCAGGGAACTGAGTACGCCAAGCGTCGTCGAGGCGGGAGAAGCAGCGCTGCGTGGTGTGCGCCCTCCCACACGTCTGGCCAGTGCGGTCACCAGTGCGGATGACGTACGTGCAGCTAAGGCCACCCCCCCCCCCCCCCCCCCCCCCCCGTGCTGAGAGTACCACTCACGGAGCTCCTGGGGCGACGGAGTGTGCTGCTGGCTCTGGCCACTGCCAGCGCCTCCACGACCACCACCGCCGCCACCACCTCCTCGACCACCCCCTCCCCTGCCGCCGCCGCGTCCACCGCCGCCCCCACCACCGCCCCCGCCCCTGCCACCTCCCCCGCCGCTGCCGTCACCACCCCCACTGCTGCCACTAGTCCCTCCAGCCCCACCACCACCCCCACCGCCGCCACCGCCCCCACCACCGCCTCCCCCGCCGTCACCTCCGCCTCCCTTGCCCCCTTTGCCCTTGCCGCTGCGGCGCCAGCTCGAAGCGGACGCAGTCCCGACCTTCTCAGCACCAAGGAGGTCGACAGCAGAAGCAGAGGCTACAGAGGGAAGAAGGGGGGAAGGGGAACACCCCTCAAAGAAAGGGGTGCGGGGGTCGCCACGAGAGGCACCTACAGCGACTATGCTAGCCTCAGCTGCAAGTAGTTCCTTCTCGAGGAGGGCAATGGTGAGCTCAGTGGGGCAGCGAGCTAGGAAGTGATCCCTGACTGCACGCAGAGTGTCAGGGAGGCGGGTGACTAGGTGGTAGAGAGTGAGCCAGAGCGGGGGGGGGTTCGTGGCAAGAAACTCATCGGGCATAGCGGCACGGAAGCGGGCCTCACTAGTACGGAGGTGCGTGATGAGGTCAGCGACTGTGTGGAAAGAGGACAGGTCGGGGAACAGGTAGGGGAGTGAGAGACGGCCTAGCGCGGCAGAGGCAGGTGAGGAGTAGCGGGCAACGACAGCAGTGTACAGTGCCTGTGCAGTCTTGTGCTGGCCAAAGTGCTCGCGCTCATCTATCGGCAGGGAGTTGCGAATAGCAAAGCGAGCGTGGGCATCACAAGTCTGCCACTGTGAGCGGGTAGTGCTGTCAGCAGTAGTAGCAGGGGCAATGGCATGGCCTAGGGCGTGATCGTACAGTGAGATGTCCTCCTTGGCAGTGAGCTGTAGGAAGAGGTGCAGGTCATCTAGCCAGGTGTCAAACTTCACTGGGCGGCCCTCAGCATCGAAAGCTAGCACAGGAGGGCTAGCCATAGTAGCAGTAGGAGCAGCAGTATAGTAGCAGGAGCAGTAGCAGTAGTAGCAGCAGGCGAACCCTAAAAGCAGCAGGCAGCGCGACTCAGGTAGGGCGGCTCGGTCCAGAGAGTGCTGCTCAGTACGGGGAGGGCGGCGCGGCTCGGTTCGGGCGGCGCGGCTCGGCTCGGGCTGGGCGGCTCGGTTCGGGCGGCTCGGTTCGGGCGGCCTGGTTCTGGCGGGGCCGTGGCTGTCGCGTGCGGGGCGCTAAGGGGCGGCACGTGGGGTCGACGGGGCCGCTAAGAGGGGAGGGGCGCGCACGGGGTCGACGGGGCCAACGGGGCCGCTAGGTGGGGCACGCGCGGGGTCGACGGGGCCGACGGGGCCTCTAGGTGGGGTGCGCGCGGGGTCGACGGGGCGAACGGGGCCTCTAGGGGGGCTGCTCTCGGGGTCGACGGGGCCGTGTGGTGGGCCGCTAAGGGGCGCGTACGGGGTCGACGGGGCCGACGGGGCCGCTAGGTGGGGCGTGCGCGGGGTCGACGGGGCCGACGGGGCCTCTAGGTGGGGTGCGCGCGGGTTCGACAGGGCCGACGGGGCCTCTAAGGGGCTGTGCGCAGGGTCGACGCGGCCGTGAGAGGGGCCTCTAAGGGGCGGCGCGCGGGTCGCTAAGGGGCGGGTCACGGGTCGCGGGGCCTTACGGGGCCGTTAAATAGGGGCACACGAGGGCGCTGGGGGGGAGGCGCTCGAGGGCGCTCCGACAGTAGGGCGCACGAGGGCGCTAGTAGGCAGACAGTCGTACGGTGTGGTGGGCCCTAAGGAGCGATCCTAGGTCTAAACCTACGCTCTTAATACCATGTTAGAAAGAAGAAGTGGTTTGACTAGAAACAAGTGAGAGTACAAATGCCTAACCCTAGAATTGTGTACCCTCTAAAGGCTAACCCACTGTAGCCTAAACAACTACAACATATATAATGTTTGACAGAGGAGAAGGAGGAACAGCCGAGCAGCAGATGCTGCTAGGCCGGCAACAGGATCAGAATCTGAAGCATCAGCCAATTCGCAGCTCTCAAGCACTCGTACCACTTTGTCTGTCAAACTGACGTGGCAGCCTTCCTGCTCGTCTCCTTCATCCAAACGCGCCTGCCCCATCCATCAGGGCGTGGTGAGCATGGCGGACGTGGCGATGCATGTGGTGGGGGAGGGCGATGCATGTCCCACTCATTCCTTTAACGCACCTTCCCTCCCCCTCGCCATCAGGGAGTGGTGAGCATGGCGGACGTGGCGATGCATGTGGTGGGGGAGGGCGATGCATGTCCCACTCATTCCTTTAACGCACCTTCCCTCCCCCTCGCTATCAGGGAGTGGTGAGCATGGCAGACGTGGCAATGCATCTTGTGAGGGAGGCAGCGAGGGCAGCAGCGCTCAAGGCGGGAGTGGTGAGCCTCATCGGCAACTCGCCTGAAGGCCTCTCGCTCTGGGTCGCCTCCAGCTCCACGCCGTGAGTTGCTAGCTTTGAGTTCTGGGTTCGGGTTTTGCGTTTGGTATTAATGCACAAGCCAAACAGAGAGCCAGCTGAGCAGTCATCTTGGTCGCCTCCACCTCCACCCAGTGGGTGTTGGTTGGGCCATGTCTCGCCGAGGAGGCTACTGCCCTGACCCATGTCTCGCCGAGGAGGCTACTGCCCTGACCCATGTCTCGCCGAGGAGGCTACTGCCCTGACCCATGTCTCGCCGAGGAGGCTACTGCCCTGACCCATGTCTCGCCGAGGAGGCTACTGCCCTGACCCATGTCTCGCCGAGGAGGCTACTGCCCTGACCCATGTCTCGCCGAGGAGGCTACTGCCCTGACCCATGTCTCGCCGAGGAGGCTACTGCCCTGACCCATGTCTCGCCGAGGAGGCTACTGCCCTGACCCATGTCTCGCCGAGGAGGCTACTGCCCTGACCCATGTCTCGCCGAGGAGGCTACTGCCCTGACCCATGTCTCGCCGAGGAGGCTACTGCCCTGACCCATGTCTCGCCGAGGAGGCTACTGCCCTGACCCATGTCTCGCCGAGGAGGCTACTGCCCTGACCCATGTCTCGCCCCAGCACCAACCCGTGAGTACACACCAAGGATCTGTGCTGCCGCTCCCCTGTTCATCAATATGCCAGAGCACTCAACAAACTTTGCACCAGCTGTTTACCCTAACCCATCCTCTCGCGCTCCTCTTCCGTGTCCCTGTCTCCTCCCCCTCTCTCTCGAGCGGTCCTTGTATTATATCCAAACAGTACAGCAATGCAGGTAGGTAAATGGCAAGCATACCAACATCAAACATCAAAACGACTAACCTACTAACCTGCCCTCTCTGACCTCTCTCCTCTAGGGGATCTCCAGGGCTGGCTCCAGGATGCTAAGGCAGTCCCCAAGTAACATGCCTTTGCCAGGGACCCCCACAGGTGGGTTTTCCCCCTCTCTCCCTCTCTATCCCTCTCGCCTCCATCCCGCTCTTGACTAAACCCCACTGCTCATTCCCCCTCCCCTCCCCTTTTCCCCCCCAGTCTAGTGAATGCCATGGAGCCGCTATGCAAGGGCATTCACCGCCTGCTCGTGCGCTGCCCCATCGCCCCCGCTGATACCAACCCCCCACACGTGCCCTCCTCTGCCGCTCCTCCCACTGCCATGACCCTCGGCCACACCACGCCTGAGGCACCTGAGACAGAGAAACACCGGCAGAAGGAGCCGCAGAAAGAGCAGAAGCAACAGCACAAGCAGCATCAGGAGAAGCAGGAACAACAGCGGAAGCACGGCCGGCAACAGGAGCAGAATCAGAAGCATCAACCCTTAGCTCTCAATCACTCCTACCACTTTGTCTCCCAGACTGACGTGGCAGCCTTCCTGCTGCTCCACGTGGACGCCCTGGGTGACGTGGCACAGCGCACTGTGGAGCAGCTAGGCCTCGCGGACCCGCTCTTCCCGCCCCTCGCTATAGTGTCGGGCATTACAGTCACTGACGCGCTGCGCCTCATGCAGCGCGCGGGCGGCGTGAGAGCGGTGGCGGTGGTGGCGGGGAGTGCGGAGGAGGAGGAGCGGATGGAAGAGGGCGAGGGGTCTGGTTCGGGAGCTGCTTCTGGTACTTCTGGTGCTGCTGGTGCTGCTGAAATGACAGGAGGAGGGAGGGGAGGAGGACGGGGTGGGTGAGGGGGGGCCGGCTGCTGGGGACTCTGTCAGTGTCGGATCTCAGAGGCATGGACGCGGAGACCCTAGCACAGCTCACCTCCATGAAGGTGAGCCTCGTGAATTTAAACACTCTAGCACAGCTGACATGCATTTGAAGTGAGAGGTGGTCCACGCACCTGCGCTGCTGACACATGTATGGTTGGGTGCGGTGCATGTAGGCATACCTCGTGCTGCCTTTTGAGAAATCTCATTCTTGTTGCTTGTCGCTTTCACAGGTGCGGGACTTCCTGGCTCACATGGCGTCGCTCACCCCTGAAGGTCGCTGCCCATCCATCACGTGCCGCATGGCGGCGCCTCTGGCGGAGGTGATGGCGCTGGCGTCGCTGGTCCTGCCCTGCTGCACCTGTTTTGCACATCTGCCTCTTTCTTCGTTCTTTGCTACTGCTGTCACCTGCGCTGTTGTAGTCATCACTACTCCTTGCTGATTATCATGCACCTGCTTCCCTCTTCGCTCACTGGGATCCTCTTTCCGTTCGTCCGTGCATGCAGCCCGGTTTGACAGAGAGGGAAGCATCGCGGCTCTCAGAATGGGCACAGGTCAGTCTATCTACTTCCTGTCTGCTTGATTTAAAAACATTCTGCACCTCAACCTCTTTCTGCACACGCCATGCCAACCCCCAAGACTTTCGCGTCCATTACTCAACCCGCTCATCACTCTTTCACCCCATTCCACCCCGCTGCACTCCCCCCTCAACCCCCACAGAGCATGCCATTCCGCGAGGCCTTTGCGTTTGCCACCATCCCGCTCTTCGACTCAGCCGGAGGCACCACCGGCTTCGGGAGCAGCAGCACAGGGGCCGGCACACCAGGGGTGCTGGGCGGGGCAGCAGGGGGAGGGGCAGGGGAGGGCACAGGGAGCCCTGGGACGCCGGGGTCTAGCAGTGGGGCGCTGGGGGAAGGGGGGGCTGCGCCCTGGTATGAGCCTGGGGGGGCCTCTGCTGGTGGACATCCCATGTCTGCAGCGCGTGAAGGAGTGCTACACTGAGGACCAGCTCTTTGTGCGTATTCACGTGGGGGCTTGGCTTAGTGACCAACCGCGTGCACCGTGTGTGGGTTACCGGGGAGGAGGATGAGCTGCTGGGAGTTGTGTCCCTCGCCGATTGCATCGATGCTTGCAGACGGGCAGTGGCAGGGCAGCAGGGCGGCAGGAGAGGAGGGACACAGGGGGAGATGGAACCGGGCCTCAGGAAATCCCCCCCTGCCTTGGGCTGGACAGAGTGGACTGGCTGGTTGGGCGGTGGAAGGGTGGGGATACTGCTGGTTGGTGGGGAAAGCACGAGTGCTGCTGACCAACTGTGTATACATGGAAGCTCAGAGTGTTGTGCGAGATTGGAGTTGCGATGCTTGCTGACGCTCTTGTGGCATGCACAAGGGCGGTGGGTGGAGAGGAGAGGGTAGCAGCAGCAGCACAGCATATTGATGGGTAGGTAGGGCATGCTAGTCGTTTCACTTGGCCACATTAGGTGGGACTACGGTATGCTGTACATCTCCCTTGTCGTTAAAACTTTCCAGACAACCCTCCCACATGTTCCAAGTCGTTCATTCGCTGCTAGTACGGTATGGCGGCATTCCTGACAATGGTATTTCGGCGAGGAGTGTCTGGTACAGGCAGGAGGAGCCCTTTGGCAGCACTGGGCTGGAGATGGAGAAGCAGAGTGGAATGGCGTGGAATGTGTCGGTAGGAGTGTGACTGAGGCAGGAAGTGGAAGCATGGAGCCATATAGAGATGTCTGCACAGCATGGGAAGAGCACATTCCCCCCCCAACTGCTAGGTTCTTCCCTTCTGTGTAGGTAGAGTGAAACATGCCTCAGCAAGGTGAGTGTGCTACAGCACGGCAGCACAACATTCAACTGAAGGACTTCAGCATTAACAGACACTGTTTGGGTGGAAACGATGACGATCAAAAGGCAGAAGGTGTGCAAGCAATGCAACATACGGTACAGTATTAGAGGCGCGATGTACAAGAGAACCACCAAGTGGAAGGCAATGTGAGATGCGTAAGCAGCATCTGCACACGCTTCCCCATTGAAATGCCAGTCTTAATCAAACAAAAAGCCCAATGTTCACATAAAGAAAGATGCCATTATGCACTCAATCGATCGCACGTCGTGTCTCAATGTGCTCTTTGGTTGTTATCAATCTCAGCGTAGATACCAACAACAGCAACAACAGAAGAAATGGTACGTTATTAAGACGCTGTGAGTGCTGTGATGTCAGTTAGTGCTGCAGAGCAGGTGATGCATGTTGCTAGGTGCTCAAAGCAACAGCATGCTCATCCCTTGCTGGGAACAGGGAGCTATAGTACGATTTCAGGAAGGGGAAGGGAGTCGGTTGCACCAGCGGCAGCAGCACCAGTTCCATCCGCAACAATAGCGCGAGTTGCACGAGCAGCAGCAGCAGCCGCACGATTTGCACGGGCAGCAGTAGCACGAGCAACAGCAACCACTGTAGCACGAGATACATGTGCAGCAGCAGCACTAGTTCCAGCAGAAACAGCAGCACGAGTTGGAGGAGCAGCAGTAGCACGAGCTGCGCGGGAAGCAGGAGTGCGAGCAGAACTAGCAGCAGCAGCAGCAGCAGCAGCACGATTTGCACGGGCAGCAGTAGCACGAGCAGCAGCAACAGAAGTTCCACGGCTTGCAGCAACAGAAGTACCACGGGTTGCAGCAGCAGCAGCAGCAGAAGTAGCACATGTTGGAGCCGCAGGAGTAGCACGGGTTGCAGTACCAGCAGCAGCAGTACGAGTTGCACGAGCAGCAGCAGCAAGAGGACGAGGAGTATGAGTTGCACCCGCAGCAGGAGGACGAGTTGCCCGAGGCGCAGTAGCAGCAGCAGGAGCACGAATTGCACCAGCACGAGCAACACGGGTGGCAGCAGGAGGGGCACGAGGAGCAGCACGAGGAGCGACAGTCTCTGCAGGTTGCGGTCCATCCATGAGTGGTCCGTCCTGACGGTTCTGGCTCCAAATATAGGATTCAAAAGGGGCGGAATATGCGAACGGGATGATGCAGTGCAGAGGCGGACATACAGAAGAAAAAGTAGAAAGCACATCCCAAAACAACTAGCAGTAAAACTGCTTAATATATAGCATCATGGTGTTCATATAACATCAGTGATACTATTGCAGAAGAGTGCAACAATAAAAACATACTTAATGGCAACAAAAGAGTGCAGAAGAGTATTGATCCTAAATTGCAAGAGCATACTTGGCTTCCATATTGCAGCACTTCTCATACTATCCCCTCCACACACATAGCAAGTAACACATAACCATGAGCACCACACCACAACAAACCATGCGGGCAGCCAAGTGGTGTAAGGGTTTACCTCGAAAACGATGGATCTGACCGTGCTCAGGAAAGCATTTGCACGACTCACCAACTCTAGTTGATGATTCTGTCCCTCCAACCACACTTGATAGTTTGACCCATCCAAACCCAAATCATCAATAGGTAATGGTCTGGTGCCAACACTCCTCCTTATTCCGTAAATGTGGCCCTATAAGGACAATCATGGCAATGACGAGACAAAGTTATTCCAATCTCATGACAAATCAAGAAGCCAGAGAGTAGAATATTCATGCTCAAGTGAGTGAGTGTGCGCGAGCGTGCGTGCGCGTGTGCGTGTGCGTGTGTGTGAGTGTGTGTGTGTGTGTGTGCGTGTGTGTGTGTGTGTGTGTGTGTGTGCGTGCGCGCGCGTGTGCGTGCGTGCATGTGTCTGTGTGTGTGTGTGTGTGTGTGAGTGTGTTAGAGAGTTTGAGAGAGAGTTCGAGAGAGTTCGAGAGAGTTCAAGAGAGAGATCAAGAGTGTGTGTGTGTGTGTGTGTGAGTGAGTGTTAGAGAGTTTGAGAGAGAGTTCGAGAGAGTTCGAGAGAGTTCAAGAGAGAGATCAAGAGTGTGTGTGTGTGTGTGTGTGTGAGAGAGAGAGAGAGAGAGAGAGAGAGAGAGAGAGTAGGGAAAGGGATCGGAGTGGAAAGGAGGGGGGAAGAGGATTGCAGTTGTCTGCACCTTGGTGCAGTAGTACTCAACAAACACAGGAAGCTTGAAAGCAGTCCTGATGTCAAAATAAAAATACAAGATGGACCTAAAAAGCGAGTCGCCCTCTCGACAGAGTTTGACAACCTGCCAAAAGAATGATTTAGTCAGATCAAATTTGCTTATCTGAAAAGGAGAACAGATGGTCATAATAGGTGATTTAGTGAAAGCACTCCCCGCTATTCACAGCCTTAACAAAAAATGGATTTAATGCTAAGGCAGATATGCTTTGTTTGAACTCACTTGGGATTCACAAAATGGACAAACTTCTCCTTCTACGAAGGAGTTGGCAGAAAAAGTAAACAACCTGTTAGGAAGGTACAAGTAAGGAAAACCGAACGTATTACTGGTAATGGGACATAAAACTAGTAATATTCACATCGGATCCAGAATATAGAGGGTGCTGCCATCCACGGGCTCCTATCCACTCTAGGGCTCGAATCTGCCTCTTGATCCAAACACGAGACACCATCACGTCGTTGAAAGCGATAACGGGAGTAAATAGAGCTTACCCTGAGCTTTGGAGAGAAAACGAAAAACCTTTCAAGATGCTGACCCACACATCATCGCACACTCCCTCGGTTTTCCGCCGCATGCAAGTATATGAAAACACAATGAGGGAACCGTTGCTCAGGGTTAGCTTCAAGACAGGAGAGTGCAGGTGGGGTCCGCCAAAAGCGAGTCCTTCCGCATCAGGAACGGCTTGCCAATAAGCAGCGAGAAGGTGAGGGCTGGCAATGTTGGTAAATCTCCTCCCTCGCAGCATGGCAGGACTTACACCTGGACACCAATTTAACCACTTTCCAAAAGCTTTGATACCATCGCTTTCCATAGCGTTCACCCTTCCCTGAAAACTCTCAATATGGAACGAGTCGTCTATATCCCTGACCTCGACTGTTCTGGCCAGCTGGTCACGGCAGTGCCAATACCACAGCTGCGTGTCCGCCATACGTCTAAACTTGTTTGAGAGACTCGCGAGTCGAGCAATGAGTGGTCCCGTCGGTTGAGCACGCTCGAGAATGTCGTAAACGAGTTTAGCGGGAAGAAGTTCCATGATGCTCGAATGTCCAACAAACAGGTTCTGGGCTGAGGATGAACGAAAGGTTGCTGAAGATGAACGGAAAAGTCTGAGGCTAAAGTGGAGGAGAGTGTTGCTGCCAAAGACGAGAGCAGTCGAGGGTAACTGAGCCTGACAGGAAATCTGACAGGGCATTGTCCCCATCGCGCGGGGAGGTACCTAGCTCCGACAATACCTAGGTCGCGATCGTCTAAAAGTGCGAACTGGATGACGATTCCTTGGGCCATTGAAACCTTCGATGCGCGAGTAGTGACCTCGATGTTCTACTCAGTAAAAGCTAATCTCGATGCTGGAGGCAAGGAGAACTATCTCGAGATTTGAATCGGTTCCTGAAGTGACATACTTGTCCAACCAGGAAAACAGTGCTGGACGGGTTTGCACTAGGCATGTGAGCTTGGGAACTCCGTTCGCAGTCTTGCGAGGGCAGCCCCCTGCTAGGAACTTGAGGCACGAGAGTTCGAGCGAAGTGGTTGGCGAAAAAATGAGAACAAGGGTTACGTGGGAATTTCAGATTTGGTCAGAAGGTAACTCGTTATACACGGACAGTCATGTTCCCTTGTATAATTTTGTTCTCCTAACATCTCCAAATGCGGGCCTCACACGGTGTCAGGTGAGGGTAAGGGCGGGTCTTTCTTGTTCGTTTCGGCAAAATGACACAATTTTTTGTCCGTGGTAACATGGATATCCACAAAAGCATGAAGCTGGAATCGAAAATTCACCAGATACGTATCTCGCATGGCTCGTCAATCGCTCGTTTTTTGCACTCTGAGCTTGCGTGCATCTTGAAATCTGCACGAACTTCGTGATTGTTCATGTACTGTCGCGTCCTCATAGTTTGGCCATGTTGTGCATGAGGACACGTTTTTTCCCTCGAATACTAGTTACCCTCCAAAATTTCGCTCTTGGCTGCATAAATTGAGCTGACCTGTTCCGAGAATGACCCGCCCTAATTGAAGAACTGGAAGGTACTAAGGATAACTTTGGCTGAGTAAGGAAATTTCCTTTTCCTTACTTCGCGTCCCTGCTCAGCGCGTACACCACTGTTCCCGCCAACAGCACCCAACAGTAATCCGTTACCACTAGCGACACTCGCTTCGACACCATTCCCGCCACTGTTCACGACGCGACCCAACCTCACGGTTCGGTTGGTAACCCGCGCTCCGGACCTCCGCCTCGACATTTCCCAACCTCGGCGCTAGGCCTGTCGCGCACCCCATTTTCCACACATTACCGTTACCACTGTAGTTTCGCTATATATTCTTCGCTCATGCCTTCGCTCATTGTACTTTTGCTTTGATAGTGCAATTCTCGCTCGTTCACTCAATTACACTCGTAACACTTGGTATTCAGAGCCTACGATCTCTTCTCGGATCGCACCCACACCTTCGCTTCCCCACTATCTCAAAAATTTTGGGGGGTAGGCGTCTCTCAGCGAAACAAGCACCGCCGCTCGTAGTGCTCTCTCGTAAGCACGCACGGCCACGACAGAGGCTCTCGCTGAGCTTGCCCGACACCCCCGCCATGGCTGAAATCACTCTCGCGACACTGACGCGGGAGCAACTCGACCGTCTCGTACGCCAAATCGAAGATTCGGTGCTCGAAATTGCGACACTCACGGCGGAACGCGACTCCGCTCGTCAGCAATCTACGGTGAATGCTCCAGTGCCACCACACGCACCTGCAAATGCACCCGCACAATCAGAGGAGCCGATCGTCATCTCATCAGGCACACTGACACAAAACGACAGCGTGGGACAGCGCTCAGGCGCAGCCAGTGATGGCGTCGCTCAATCAATGCCTGGCATGGAGAGGAACAGGGCCGCGCCAAGCCCACGGGAGCCTCGCGAAGCCCGTCGGCACGTGGAATTTGCGGCGACAAGTGGCGAACACGCCGTCATGGCACCAATGCCACTCAAGCCGCAGCGCCCGCCCTGTTTCGACCCGAGCCAGCGCGGAGGTCCGACGGTTCAATCGTGGGTCTTCACGATGAACGTCTTCTTCGACGCAAACTACGTCGAGTCGGACGCAGCGAAGATCCGATATGCCGTCTCGCTGCTGAGGGGCCCCGCCATGGACTGGTGGCGAGTCATTGTGGCGTCGCCACGCGCCTACGAGCCACCGTCGCAAGAGGAAGGGCCCACGGGCCCAGCTGTCACCTGGAGTTCATTCTGCGAGACCGCCCAATACAGCACGTGGGACGCGTGGTGCGCAGGGCTTCGGGCGCGCTTCGAGCCGATCGCGACTTCTATTTCGGCGCGTCAGAGACTGCGTACTTGGCGGCAGCTCGGATCAGTTCAAGACTATACGAGCGGTTTTCTCGCATTATGCGAGCAAGTCGGCTATATGCACGAAGCGGAGCGGGTGGACCGTTACGCCGGAGGGATGAACCCGGACATCTCGCACGAAATCATGCTACGCGGACTCTCGAATTTCAACGAGATTCTCGCGCTCGCCGAGAAAATCGACATTTTACGCCGTCCGAGACCGGGGTCCTACTACGGACATCACCCTCGGGGACCGATCGAGCATGCCACTGTACACGCCGTTGCGACGAATGCAGCTGCCGCGCCGTTTAAGGGGCGCTGCTTTGCTTGCAGTAGGCCGGGCCATCGCAAGAGTGAATGCCCAGAGGAGCTGAGGCGCCGCGGAGCAGAGCATGGGAGGGAGTCTCCAAGGCAGGGAAACGCCAGCAGTCAGTAGGAATCGGGCCAACTACTGACAAGACTGCCTGCTCGCCCAGCCGCACCGACCCTCACCGGGTCACAGTACCGATTCACGCTATCGATCGGGCTCGGATGAATAAGGAGGGTACAGCGACGGATTGCCCAGTACTGATTCACGGGAAAATACAGGGAGCAGCAGTGAAGATTTTTATCGACGGAGGCCCAAGTCACAGCTTAGTTAATACCACGACCGCACGAAAACTACAACTGACACTGAGTCGGTGCTTACCGGAGATAGACGCACGCTTAGTTGACGGCACGCCGCTGGCCATACGGGAAAAGGTGGAGAGGGTAAAAGTCCGCTGCGGGGGGAACTTCGGGTTTACACAGGAAATGCTCGCGACGACACTGGATGGGCACGACATTTTACTGGGGCGTGATTGGTTGCGACGGTATAACCCGCGAATTGACTGGACGACGGGTAGCTGCACTGTGCGAAGTAGCGGTAGCTGGGTCGAACTACCTCGCTGGCAGTCGCCTGAGTCTTCAACGGTCCACGTCAACGCCATCACAATGAAATGGGCAGTCGCCGTTGGAGCTGACGTGTATGCAGTGGACATTGCAATAGTCGGGGAAGCAGGGCAGCCGAGCGACTTTCAGAAACTGCTGGCAGCGGTACCGCCCGAACTACAGGAACTGTTGAATCGGTACCCGGGGATTTTTCCCGACGATTTACCGGAAGGACTGCCACCTCAGCGAGCACACGACCACCGAATAGAGTTAGAACCCGGGGCACAGCCAACCGTACATTGACAGTTCCGACTGACACAGCCCGAGCTCGACGAACTGAGGAAGCAGCTAGATTACATGTTAGAGAAGAAATTCATCCGACCAAGTTCATCACCGTTCGCCGCACCGATACTGTTCACGCCGAAAAAAAATGGAGGGTTTCGCATGTACATCGATTACAGAGCACTGAACAGGGTAACACTCAAGTCGCGATACCCCATTCCCCGCGCCGACGAACTGATAGATCAACTGCGAACAGCACGGGTTTTTTCGAAAATAGATTTACGGGGAGGTTACCATCAGATTAGAGTCGAACCATAGGACTGCGCCATGACGACTTTTAGGACTAGGTACGGGTCATTCGAGTACACCGTGATGCCCTTCAGGCTGACCAACGCACCAGCGACGTTTCAGATGACCATGAACGAGGCGTTTAGGCCACTTTTAGATAAATGCGTGATAGTTTACCTCGACGACATCCTCGTCTACAGTCGCGATAATCAGTAGCACTTAGCAGATCTGGAAGCAGTATTCAAAGTTTTAGACGAGCACCGGCTATTGACCAAGGGTTCCAAGTGCGAGTTTTTTCAGGACAGGCTAGAGTTTTTGGGGCACGTTATTTCGGAGGCTGGGGTTGAAATTGACCCAAAGAAGCTAGACACGGTAAAAGCATGGCACCCCCTGTCAAACTTATATGCTATAGTCTATCTAGGCTGTAGTGGGGTAGACACTATAGGGTACGACACTTCTAGGTTTCCTACTTGTACCCACTTCTTCCTTAGTCATTCCATTCCTCTTTCTTTACATGGTATAGAGCGGGTTCCCTAGCGGGACCGTTTCTTCCTAAGGGCCCACCACTTTTTTTTTTTTTTTTTTTCCTAACCTGCCCGAAGCGCGCTTCGCGCTCTGCCCTACCCTACCCTTTCGCGGCCCCTTAGCGGCCTGCCCTGCTCCTGAGGCCCGTCGCGGCCCCCCCCTTTGCGGCCCCTTCGCGGCCCCTATGCGGCCCCTTCGCGGCCCC